AAATAAGAGGACAGGAGCGCGATCAAAGTTCGAGAGAACCCTAAATAAAGGTCAAGGCAAGGGTGGAGCGCCAGCGGGGGTGGGCTCATGCAGGTCAGGGTGCGCACCTGGGTGCTTCCAGCACCAGCGCACCCCCTCACTGAGACACCCCTAAACCCTAAACCCCTAAACTCTCCCCGCCCCCGTTTTGGGTCTAAGGTATACCCTAAACCCGGCCGGGGTGACCAACTGGACATCATCGCTGTCCTTTTGATGGCCGACCTTGAACCCTATCAAGAGCCTCGGGGCTGTAACACAGCTTAGGGTTTGGGGATTTTAGGGTTTACGGTTTTGTTCTTTAGCGTTTAGGGTTTCAGGGTTTAGGGTTTACTGGTTCAGGGTTCTGGATTTCTGGGTTGTACCCTGAAGTTTGTACCACCACGAGGTCCCCCCAATGCAGACTTTATGTAGAGCATTTGAGCCCCCAGGTTTAACACAAGTACAGGGTTACGGGAGTATCAGGTAGGGACCTTACATGAGGCTGCCTCATGTACTGCTTACATATATATACATATATATATATATGTCTATCTATCCCGGTGCACCCTCTATACCCAGTATAAACCTTTTCTTTGTTTATATTACCCCAATTGGAAATTCCCCCCTGTAGCTGATACTACCCAGGGTTTTTTCAATCGGATTCCTCACAGCTAAGGGTGCAACCTCCAGATTGCAACCTTGAGGTACGATCCTCAACCCCTCTAAACGCTGCACTCCTGAATCCCCGAGGTATAACCTAACCCTGAAACCCTAAGAAACAAGGAAACTCACAAGCAAGGCATGCGCTCCCCACGTTGAGTGGGCCAAGAGTGCAGTGATTGAGGCCAGCAACGCTGCTGTGGAGGCTTGCCGAAGTTAATTTTTTTAGGGTTAAGGGTTTAGGGACACATTTGGACATCGTGTTGCTGTAAAGGGACAACAACATAGTCAGACATTTTGACCTTAAGGGGGGCCAAGGACTCAAATAACAAGGTTTTACGTCCCAACGACCATTTAGTTCGCGTATTCGGGACCTAACTCCTTGGTCGCGTAGGGACACTTACACCTTGAGCATTCCTCTACAGCATGAAGACACAGGAAGACTGGGTTGCTGTTAAGGAACTTAAGTTAAGTTACCATAATGGGTATATATAGTAAATAGTAGGGTTTCCCCAATATAGCAACTTAATTTAAGTTCCTTAACAGCAACCCAGAAGAGGGAATAGTGGCATGAACCAGCCAACTGCAAGCTTCAGCCGTACATGATGATGGGCCCCCGGTATGGGCCTTGATCTTCAGGTCTGTATATAATCCTAGAAGCCCAGGTACCCATATAGTAGGTCCTTGGGTTACAGATAGTATAAAATCATATCGGAACTTAAGGACAGGACCCCAATATATAGGTAACTGGGCTTCTAGGGTAATACCTGCTTGATGATTAAGCCCAGTCAAAGGCCCATAGCTCGGACCCAGGAACAGGTAGCCCTAAACCCTGCGGGTCCACAAGGAACCTGCCAAAAACCATGGCCACACCAGTAAACATGAGGTACCCTACTTAGTTACAGCCTGTAGTGTCGAGAAAGGGCATCTTTCTTCTCCCCCAGTGCACCTCATCAGGATCAGCCCTGCTGAGCAAAACGCCCTTGACGCAAGAACTGGCCAAGCAGCCGCATCAATGCAAGCATGTTGCCTTCGTGATGATACCGTAAGACAAATTGGTATAGATAAGTCAGCAACTCCAGATTAGCCTGATCAGTGCTCGTCTATCCATGGCTCCATCAGTGCACGTCTATCATTGCGGCAGTGAAGTAAGTGTAGCATTAAGCTCGTTGAACAAACATGTGAACATCTTGTATTTGTGAGAATAAGTGTGAAGGACCCATCTTGTTTCTGTGATAACCATGGTGAAGAAATGTTATTTAGACCCAGACCTGAGCAAAAACGAATGCGAACAAAAAGGATGCTTAGTTGCGCACACGACGAAAGTGTGAAACAGTGCAGACAGCCCCACAAATACCAGTGTACTTTACGGAGGCCTTTAAAAATGAAAGTTTTAACACAAAACATGTGGGAATAAGGTAATAGCCGAAAAGGCAGGAAACACTGGTATTTGCAGGGGATTCTGAACTAAGCAAGGCTGAACTGCGCAAGAAGTGTGGGTTTCTTACTGCCCCGCCTAGCCCTAAACCCTAAACCCAAGGTTTGGGGTTAAGGTTTAGGGCTCAACTTCTGTGCCCAGACCCAGACTGCCTAATGCAAAGCCACAGAACCCCTTAGCCCCATTAAAGGGACCCTAAGACTAGCCGCCCATAACCCCTTTAAACGGACCTAAAGACTACCCTATAACACCTTCAAAGGGACCCCTGTGTACCTGCAACCATAACGCCTATATTCCTATGTAACCCTTTTATAAACAAAACGGGGTCACTGTGAGAGTGCGCGTCTTCCACATTTTCTAGCGAATTTAATATAATTTTCTTTTGATTTAGTGCAAAAATTGCACTCGCACAAGCTCTCCCGATGTCCTCATTGGTACTTGCGCTATTTAAAGCA